CTCCAATTCTATGATTATTTAACGTGAGTGATTAGGTTAAACTAAATTTGAGCCAATCATTTATGTGATATAGCATGGTTATTAAGAATAAAAGTGATTTCTTGGTCAGAAATTTTAAGTCCGATAATAAATTGCTTATGAATCGCTTATGAATTTTACTTATAAATCTGTACCTGATTGTAACCTGATTACTTATATGTATGTAACTAATTGTAACCTGATATAACTTGATCACCTTGTTATCACTAATCACCATGTTTCAACTGGATATTTTCGCCCATATGTATTTGGCATGTTTATAATTCAAAATTTTGATTGGTCTATATAATTAGATCTGTGTTTTGTAACAAGAACGATTTATACGCAGATTGAGTAAAGTATTCACCTTGTTCACAAAAAAATTAATTATAAAAGTAAAATTTAATTAACTACAATTAATGTTTAATTAGTTGCAAAAATTAAAACTTAATTAGCCATAAAAAATCAAGTCAAGTTAGTTGCAAAAGCTAAATCTGATTAGTTTTAAAGTCAAGATCTAATTAGTTGTAAAATCAAAATTTTAAAAGCTAAATCTTAATTAATTGCAAAAGCCAAAATTTCAAAAATCAAGGCCTAATTTAAAATCTAATGAATTGCATTTTAATTAGTTGCAGAAGTCACGGTTTATAATGAATTAAATCTAGGCCAAACAAAAAATGTGTGACAGATTCTCTTGCTTTGATTGACGACCAATGCCTGCGATAGACAAAATTTTGGCCGCACTTTCGTCCAATGCACATTTTTTGTGCGACACCAAGGTTACGTCAGCTTGCAGAATAATATGCATGAATGTTATACCAGGAATGTAGTAACGAGATTAGTAAGTGTGTACAGTACGTAGTTAAATGTCATCTAGAATATCCGAAATGTGATTTGGTAAAATTTGCATGCATTCAAGTACATGTGATCTTATACGTATTGATGCAACTTATTCATGCGGTATATGGAATATCGAAATGTATATTACTAATATTAATAATGTAATTGAAATCGATTTATATTTGGTATATGTATAAATATTAAACCTTTTGGTAATACAATAATACGTAAGTAAATAAAATAAGTTAAAATAGGTAAACAAACCATAATTTGCTAATTAAAATAAGATAAAATAAGTAAACATACGTACCTTAATTTACTAGTTAAAATAAGATAAAATAAGTAAACGTACCACAATTTGCGCAAATAATACCCTCTTGTTGAAGTACTTATTTGTAGTCAATATTGTAAATTAAGTGGTAAATTATCAATTCTAGGGAAGTACTAATCAGTTTTCGAGGCCAAAGAATCTGTATTGCTATTTGCTTCAAATCACTATATTATTAACTTGGCAAAAAAGTTCAAAAGAATTCACGTTCTACGTTCTTGGTTTGAGCGCGACTACGTCAAGCAGTTACCCTAATTTTCATTTCATCAATTAAAATGTACCAATATTGTGTAAATAATATAATCAAACGATACTATCGATGTGATTGACTAACTTATTTTCTAACCTTTAGATAAATCAAAATGGCAAATGAAGGAGATATTACTCATATCGATGATTTTAATCAACTGAATTTCAAATCGACAAATGCAGATGATCCAGATGGAACGTATAATCTTGGTTATTGTTATGAATACGGAATTGACGTTGAAAAGGATGAAAACAAGGCATTCAGTTATTATCAAAAATCAGCAGAAATGAATAATTCTAACGGAATGTATCAAGTCGGATATTGTTATTATTTAGGAATTGGAGTTAAAGTCGATGAACATAAAGCATTTGAGTATTATTTTAAGTCTGCTAAGGCTGGTAATTCCATGGGAATTCGTAAAACTGCTATTTGTTACTACTACGGAATTGGCCTAGAAGATGACGACTATTATGAATATAAACAGTGGCGCAATAAGTAAGTTAATTTTTTAATTTCTATTTTAAAGATCGAGAATGTTTTCATAAAATTTTAATAATTCAGTTTTAATCATCAGAGAGTAAGTATAAAAAATATAGTAATTTACACATAAATTAATTAAGTTCATAAATATTAATTATTGTATTATTTAGTCCGTGAGTATAAAGAATATTTATTATTCATTGGAATTTTGAACAGCAAAGAAAGTTCATAAATCAAGAACATAAATCTTATTTACCATTACCATTATTGTATACTCTTCAAATCATTCAGTCCGTGAGTATAAAGAATATTTATTAATCATTGGAATTAAATACAAAGCAAGTTCATAAATCAAGACATTTACCATTACAATTATGTAATACACTTCAAACATTTCATTCGAATTAATTTAGTCGGTGAGTATAAAGAACATTTTCATTGGAATTTAGAACAAATTATTTACCATTACTATTATACAATACCCTTCAAATCATTTCATTCGCATTAATTTAGTCGGTGAGTATAAAGAACATTTATTTATCATTGGAATTTAGAACAGCTTATTTACCATTACTATGATACAATACCTTTCAAATTATTTCATTCGCATTAATTTAGTCGGTGAGTATAAAGATCATTTATTAATCATTGGAATGTTGAACAGCAAAGCAAGTTCAAAAATCAAGAATACAAATACTTATTTACCATTACTATTATGTAATACCCTTCAAATCATTCCATTCGCATTAATTTAGTTAGTGAGTATAAAGAATATTTATTAATCATTGGAATTAAAAATAAGTTCGCAAATCAAGAACATAAATACTTATTTATCATTACTATTCTATTCGAATTTTAATCATTTATTCAGTGTGTGAGTATAAAAGACATTTATTAATCATTGGAATTTTAAACAGCAGCAAAGCAAGTTCAAAAATCAAAAACATAAATACATATTTATTTACCATTACTATTATGTAATACCTTTCAATCATTTTATTTATATTAATCATTTATTCAGTGAGTGAGTATAAAGAACATTTGTCAATCATTGGAATTAAAAATAGCAAAGCAAATTCATAAATCAAAAACATAAATCCTTATTTACTGTTTACCATTACTATTATATATACCCTTCAAATCATTTCATTCGAATTAATTTAGTTAGTGAGTATAAAGAAAATTTATTAATAATTGAAATTTTGATTAGCAAAGAAAGTTCTCAAATCAAGAACATAAATACTTATTTACTATTACTATTATGTAATACATTTCACATGCATTCAGTGAGTAAGTATAAAGAACATTTATTAATCATTGTAATTAAAAACAGCAAAGCAAGTTCATAAATCAAAAATATAAATACTTATTTACTATTACTATTATGTAATACCTTTAAATCATTTCATTCGCATTAATTTAGACGGTAAGTATAAAATTATTTACATTCAATATAAAGTTTATAATAGCATGGCAGATGTGTTATATAAATATTGTATTATATAGCGATCCTAAATTTGGGACATGTGCATTTTGTAATGAAGATAACACGAAACCAGTATGGTGTCTATCATGCGATCCTGACATAGCAACAAGGTGGACAAGTGGAATTAAGGATATTGACGATTGTATGAAGTTGTTCCAACTTAAATCTTGTGAATATGAAAAGACAATCGAATGGATTCCATTTGATAGATTATTTGATATTAAAGAAATTGGTAAAGGAGGATTCGGCTCTGTATATAAAGCAATCTGGTTAGATGGTAAACGAAAAGTTGAAAAAATTAAAATTGATAATAATGATGATGATGACAACTATTCCTATAAAAGATCACGAGAACCAAATAGTATCGTTGCACTCAAGACCTTGTCTGGTTCTTTAAAAGAAGAAAGTTAACCCTATTAATTCAACAATTCATTAAATATACAATTAAATCTATTTTATTAAACATATAATGAACTAATTCATTTAATTCATTTAATTACAAAGTTTGAGTATCATATAACGTGTATTTTGCGTGGTAGTGAATTTGAGATATATGGATTAACTCAAAACAGCAAAAATGATTACATAATGGTATTTCAATATGCTGATAATGGAAATCTTCACAAGTTTTTAAGAAAAAACTTTCATGATCTTACTTGGCAAACTAAATTAAATCTGCTTGGAGATATTTCTGAGGATTTATTATGGATTCATTCATCAGGATATATTCATGCAGACTTTCACAGTGGTAACATCTTGCAAAATAAAGGTATTAGTGAAAATATGCGGTCCTACATCTCAGATCTAGGATTGTCTAAAAAAAATGATGAAAATGATTCAAATGGTATTTATGGTGTCATGCCTTATGTCGCTCCTGAGGTTTTATCAGGTCAAAAGCTTACACAAGCTGCTGATATTTATGGCTTCGGAGTTATTATGTCAGAGATGTCAACTGGGCAAAGACCTTTTGATGGTTATGATTTCGATACAAAACTTGCAGTCAAGATTTGTAAAGGGTCTCGACCTGAATTTGCACCTGGTACCCCGGGTTGCTACATCGAATTTGCTAAACAATGCATGGATTCTGATCCTGCAAAACGACCCACGTATACTGATGTTTATAGTAAATTTAGAAAATGGACTAAAATTATGGAAAGCTCAGATAATGAAAATGAAATTAAAAAGCAATTCTTAGAAGCAGATAAAATGGCAAAAAAATTGCCAATTGTTTCATCAAAACATTCCGACTTTATGTATACTAGTAAAATTATCAAAACACAAAACATATCAGATGCAATTAATGCCATTAAAGGTATTTGTTTTAAAAAACTTAATTATTTATTAAAATTATTTTTTAAGATAAAACTAATTATTTTCTAAGATTAGGAACTTAATCAAATAAATCTATCAATTTTGTTGAAATCAGATTCTAAATGCATAGTTAGCATAGTTAATCTATTAAAGATGCAAACATTTCCAATAAATAAATTTGAATTGAAACGAATAGAAAAAATTACAAACAAATTAACCTTTATGAACTTTTTTTTTTTTAATATCATATGTTGTATTAAATTTTTATAATTTATTCGATTCTCAAGATGATTATAAATGTTGTTGGTTATATATTCCTGAAGTTTTGTAGTTATATGCGATTCATCCGAAAATAAGTAAACTTCAGGGAATTCACAAACGTTGGATGAATCTATGTATGAAGTACAATTATTAGAAACATTTGCAATTCCTACCTCTCTTACTAGATCCTCACATGTCTCGAGTTTAAGTAAAACTTCAAACTGATATAAAAACTAATGAGTGGTGTCATAATTTAAACAGTCAAATGTAATAATGTAATAATTATTTATTACAAAAGTATAATAATGATACCTAGCAAGTATATGCAATCATACCTGAGTTATAACTCCATTGGGTTATATCCCAACCTGAATTATGTCACTATTTTTTAGTAGAATAAATTTTCTTTATTGGTTTTACTTGCTATATATTTCATTTTATATTAATTTTTAGTTATATCCCTATACCAGGAACGTAGTGAAACGGAGTGTATGGTTCAATTCAAGTTTGGCGTTCGTCCACAAAATCTCAATTCTGATTGGATGCCTTAATTTTGTATGCATTATACTAAAAAGTATGATGATCTGCATCCTTTATTGCACGAGATCTTGAAATCATGATACTGTAAGTAGGTGCGTGCGCATTTGCGCATTCATAATGACCTATCTGACCTTTGTGATAATATGACTTATGACTTTTTTTAATATGACCAAGGTCATATCAAAAAATGGTATGACTTAGGTTATCGGCCATCACTATTCGCATATAATGACTTGATCTGTTTATTAAAGATCAATTTAATTACACTCAAATAACATTTTCGTTTTTAGATGAATAGAAGAGTAACGTATGCTGTTATGAAAAATATTGTGCCATTTGCAAATAAGCTTTTTGAGTAACCTTATAGTTTAGTATAGTTATAGGTTACTTTAATTAGACTTTTATATTGTTATATATAATAGTATATATATATATTTTTTTTTTGGTGTTAAGGTGAGGCCTTGCTCATATCTTTATTAGTAATTTTAGTTGTACATATTAAATATATAATAGTATATAATCAATGTGAGTCTAATCCAATATATATAAATAATGACATTCTTGTAAACAGTAATTAACATTCTTGAATAAAGTTTAGGAAGGACTTCTTTGATTTAGTGAAAATAGAGAATATTTCAGAGGATCATTGTGTACTGGGTATACTGGTTAGGAAGATACTTGATTGTATTACTTATATTTTTTAGTACATTTTAGTATCTTGTGTATAATAATAAATATTTGGTTTTTTATCTTTAAAGTTTATAACTTTGAGTTAAATTGATCAAGTTATAAGAAAAGTCTCTTCCCGGTCATAATATTTTTGATGCTGATTGTGTGAAGCAAACAAAGAGAAACAAAAACCAAAATCATTTTGTCCTAAGACAAATTTAAATAAGTGGATTAAGCAAAAATCAAATTCACATTATGTTAAGAAAAAAATTGTATAGATTGAACACAAATTGAATTCATTTTGTATTGAAATAATAATAAGTAAACAAAACTAAATTTGTGTTTTGTTGAATTAAAATTAAATAAGAAAAGATCAAATTTATTTCTGGTTTTAATATAATAGCATCACACAGTTACCTTATCTCTAATAATAGTAAATATAAAATAATATACAAAATACTTAAGATATATCTTCAAAATTGTCATATAATAATACTATTAATCAATAAATCTTTAAACTAATTATAAAATAAAGAAGAGTATTATAATATAGGACCAATTATAATGTATGTATGATAAATTCATATATGAAAATAACTAAAATTTGATAAATAAATTATGTGGATCAAAAATTTCAGATTTTGTAGACAAATCTCATTTCAAACATTATATAAACAATACACTTCATAATTTCATCACACCATTTCTGGTAAATGAATGAATGCCTTATGTTTACCTAATTTCTTCAACATAATAATAGATACTATTAAATTTTCTACTAGCATTATTTATTATATTTATACTTTTTACTACTAATTCTATTAATACAACAATTTCTTATCCGGATTATGCATTTCATTAGTGTTCTTATTTCTGCAAAATTTTAAAATAAATAGATAACTTATGTTTATTTTTTTCAACTTTAGTTCCTTTACTGTACCAATATTCAACATTAATATTTCACTAATATAACCTATTTCTGCCAATTTTTTGATAATATGTTAATGTTTTATGTTCATACATTTTATTGATTATTTATTAAAATAATAAAAATTTATTGTTTGTATTATACATTTTATTAATGTTTCTATTTTGTAGATTTTTGAAAATGGATAAATGCCTTATATTTGTCTTTTTCAACTTCAACTTCTTTGTTATAATAACATATACATCTATTAAGATTTGAGTAAGTATATTAGTTAGTACTTTTTGATCAAGACTATTATGAATTAGAGAAATTGATTTGTTATTTAACTGTCTTTAATATTATTATTCAATAGATACTGTAATAAATATTTAAAAAAAATATAAAATTCTCTGTTACATGTTTCTTAATAATATACTAGATTAATTTGTAAATAAAAATATAATTATCAATTATATAAATTATCATTATATTATGTATTATTAAATCACTAACTTTTTTTAAATTTATTTATTTAAACTATAAATCCTATTCTAATTGCTAACCTAATAGCTCATTTAAACTCTAAATTAAATTTATATTTAAACTAAAATTTATATATCAAAAATTAATATTTATATCTAAAAAAAACTTATTATTATTTATAAATAAATAATGTTCATAAACTAAAATGAATTTGATCTGTTCTAATTTAGAATTAGAACAGTCCAAGATAAGAATTTTATAAATTTAATCTAAATTATATTAGTTAAAATTAAAAAATTTTATTATAAACTCTAATTATAAACCTGACTAAAACATATTTATATCACTCAGCTAATTAAAATTTCAAAAATAGTAAAAATTAAATTCTATAAGAAAATTTTTTTCTTAATATATTTATATACTAAAAATATAATATATAGAAAGAGCAAATATTATGCATATGAATAAGTTCAACTAATAGAATTCAGTCAGAGATTTTCAGATATAGACAATTATTGAAAATTCTATTTTGACCTAATCAAGTTGACCTTATAGCAAAATTTTAGTATTAGTATGAGCTGGAATTATGTTGATGCCATCCAGGTTTTTACAATAAAAACTGATGACATTACAGCTATTTTTATAAATTCTAAAAAATATGATAAAAATTGACTGAACAAATATTTACTGATTTGATTCAATAATAATAAAATTTTGATTCAAAACTTATCAAATCATCAAATATTTGATTGGCCAATTTTTGTTATATTTATGAAAATAACTATTAATATGATCAAAATAACAAGTTAGTTACTTCTCAATCAGATATGTTATGTAACCTACAAGTTAAGCTTAGTCAAAAGATTGTAGATATTATAGTAAAAGCAAGGTTTTATTATTAGAAGCAAACTTTGTTTGAATTACAAACAATGAATGTTTTCTTTATAGGCCTCGAAGTTTTTATTATTTATTTTCTTTTACTTAAGGCATATTATACACTTTATTTATGATATAGCACTTATATTTATTATCTCATCTATACTAATTATAATGTTTATTAAGAGGTCCTAATTTAGTGAGTCTGTTACTATTCAAAGGTCAACTTCATATAACATTCAGATGGCTTTCAGTTGAAAGAAGTATATAGATTTGACAAATAATTTTAATTCAGGTCTGACTTATCCTGGATAGTCTATACTACATCAAGACTATCACTCTAATTCTTCTAAAATACAATATTCCCCACTATGTTGAGAATTACTAGACAATCAGGTTGGGATTTACTACTCTATATGGGTTAGGTTTATTCTTTAACAATGGTTCTCTACAGTCACTCATAAACAAATCTTTCATTCAATTTATTTCATGTAAGGTAGGAAAATCCACCTTATTACTTCCACGAAACTACATATTATTTATAACTAATTTATTATTTATTTTTAGAGTGCCAATATCCCATATATCCATTATCATGATTATAACGAGTATAATGCTTATATGCAATATAAGCATTATAATCATTATCAGCATTATAGGTACTATTAGTCCCAGTATAGTAAGAGATCTTCATAGTCGGGAGGGCGTGACTTGAGGTCATACGGCGAAGATCCCATGACGAAATCGGCCATCCGTGGATCACGAGTTCCAGGTCTAACACTATACTTATTATACTTATTATAATGTTCATACTGATTATTGTAATTATACTCTTGATCCCGCTGATTCTCATTATCACACTGATATCCATTATCAACCCGACACTGAGTACACTGCAAATACAGTGTATACCGATACTGCTGGTAAACCCATTTTAGGTAGGTGATCGACATAGCCATTAATTCGTTGCTGCGCCACACAGATCACCTGCTTCAACGAGCTTCCTCCTACCGCTACTATGTAGTGAGCACGTGGCAGGTATGATTGATGTAGCGCAGTAATGCAATTCTCGGCTATGTCGATCATCTACCTAATATGGGTTTCACAGGACTATCGGTCGTAAACGTCGTTTAGAACTATTAACAGTGTGAGCTGTAGAACTGTAATCCCGGAAGGAGGTAATCGAAGTGGCGCAGAACGGGTATGCCGATCCTTTACCTAATATGGGCTTCCCGGGATTATCGGTCCTATAAGTCTTTTCGATCCGTTAGGAGATATAGGAGCAATAAGAGTTTCAAGAGAAAATGATAGTAAAAGGGATATATGAGATTTAAGGGTTTTAAGTGATAAAGGACGTTAAAGGGATATAATACGTTTAATACATTTAGTACCTTAATGATCGCATATGTAATAAACCAATATATAATAAAGGCTTCGAGCCCTACGAGAAGCAGTAGTTCGTGCTTGTAATGAAGTTTGACCCTAATGATTCCCTACCTTCGCTAGATTCCTAAAACCTACGATCATAAACACCCCACTCGCCAAATCTAACCGCCTCTTATCGACTAAGCCGTTCGTAGGTTACACGACGCATCCGTTTGAGAAGCGACCGACACGCCGAGACCGGTTCTCTGGTGTCAACAGATATAAGGGTAATAATGGTATTAAGGGTTTTAAGAGAAAACTATAAATAAAGGGATATATGATAATTAGGGGCTTTAAGTAATATAGGACATTAAAGGGGTATACGTTAGATAATATGTTTAATATGTTTTATAGCTGTAGGAGCGCATATGTAATAGAACAATATATAATAAATGCTTCGAGCCCTACAAGAACGGGAGTTAGTACTTGTAATAAAATTTAGCCCTAATACTTTCCTGCTTTCGCTACATTATAATACCTACGATCACGAACACACCACTCTCCAAATCTAACCACCCTTATCGACTAAGCCGTTCGTCGGGTACACAACATATCCGTTTGAGAAGCTACTGACTCGCCATTTCGACCGTGTCACTGTAATTGTGGCAACAAAAGTTCCGGTGCAAATTTACTTACCATCTTTTTTTTACAATTTTCTGATAATGGTTACTTTATGGAATTGTTACATTTACTGGCAATGTAACAGAGCGCAAGAAGATAGCAAGTATCATTCACGTTAGAATTTCAAGACATTCTTATTAATGACGAAAATTTTTAATTTTAGGAAATAAATTTCAATATTAATGATCGATAATAATAAGTTAGCAGTCATGTTTATACCTTTCAAAAGGCTAGTATGCTGAAATTATTTCGACTGCTGTAAATATTTTCTGTTACCGAAATTATCTACAACTTCCATAATTATTTTCGGCTGCATTAAATATTTTCGGCTGTTGTAATTATTTTTGGCTGCCGAAATTATTTCGGTTCCATTTCTTTTATCCCTAACGACATTGAATAGAAAATTATCTAAGGTATTATTGCACGAAATTTTAACTAGTAATCATCATAACTAGTGATGTACCGCAGAACGCAAAAAAAATTTTAGAATATTCTGGAATAAATTATAAAACTATTCATATCCCAAAAGTTTCATTATGGAACCGTCGTTTTTATTCTAAGTAAAATTATTCATTGCGAACTTTTGCATTTAGATAGTTATATATCATACGTGTACTATACATATTGCACATGCTATACACACTATACGCACTATACGTACTGTACGTACTGTACGCTAAAAAAATCCGGATATCATATAAATGGCACATCACTAATCATAACTAAAAATTACACATAAGAGCGGCTTTGCAACCCATTTTAATTAATTAGATATAATAGGTAACATAATTAATATTCCATCACCAACTATTTATAATATAATGATTTTAATTAAATAAAATTAAGAATTTTTTTTGAATATTAAATTTGTTTTTTCTTTCTCAAATTTTAATCTAGAATTGCAGGATAGTCTTGGCTGTTGATCTTCGCACAAACAAGTTGGTACGATCTAGTTGCAAAAGTTGAATTGACAGCATTCCATTTATACTGTTTTTTTTTGATTTTAATATATTTTTTTTTGGTTCTATTCAATTTTGTAAAGTATTATAGTTATAAGATGATAAACGTTGCAACTAATCTTTCATGCTCGACAGTATCATTAGAGCTTAGAGTAGTTTTTTTGATAGTATTGGTTGTTTGTGGGACCTTTGCATTTCGTCTTGAAAATTTAGCCAATAGGCTTTTTTTATATTAAGCATCATTCAGTGCTGTAATATCGTATACGACAATCGTATATCCATATATGGTCAACAATTTATCTTATTTTAAACAGTTCATTTTAAATTTACAGTACAGTACACAAGATAAATTTATATTAAAGAATTTTGACTCTAAGGAAAATTCTATTTTGACCCGAGTCAAAATAACCCGATAGGGGATATTTTCGTGTTGCATAATATAAACTATCATAAACTCCGTAATAGTTTGTATTATTCTGTCAGGTCATTTTTTGACCGAATCAAAATAGAATTTCTCAAATTTCAATGAAATATATTATATTTAGGAAATATTATTATAGTGCCATAGCACTATAGTGCTACCCAATATGTAAATACAAAGTTGGTATAACATGTAAATCAAAACAATCTTTTTTGTAGAGTTAAATTAAGGATAAGGTTAGGTAAGACATAGCTTATGCTAAAATTTTGCAAGAAATTTGAAACACAAAAGATGGTTTTTTAGTCAAAATTTTAAAATATAACCAATTTTTTAAATTTTATTATTTTTATTACACAAATGAGTAATCTACATGTTACATCTAATCTTAAATTTTAATTGGTTACAATACTCTAGCACTATAAATTAAATCCTTTATATTTATATCTAGTTTAAAAATACGTATAAGCTTTTTATTATCACATTAAATATCAAATACGCGAAAATAAGATATACAACAAAACTCAACATTTTTGACAGAATAATAAAAGAGAAAAATATATATGCAAATTATATAGTTATTTAATGTTAACTAGGACGACAAGATTAAGATAACTGACTTTACTATTAGTAATCTTCACAACTCCGTTATAGCTTGTATAGTAATCTTTGCGACTCTGTTATAGCTTGTATAATAATCTTCGCAACTCTGTTATAGCTTGTATAGTAATCTAATAAATGAAAAGATCACCTTACCTTTTTTCAAAATTAGTTGTTGTCATATGACTATTTTTATCTCAATGAATAAATAAAAATTACTAATTTAGCATTATTCAGATCATATGATGATAATCATACAATATATCAAATAGAAGTAACGTTATACCACAAGTAAGTGCCACATGTAAATCCAATATAATAATATTAGCTTTGCGGCACTCAAATTTTGCCACACAATAATCAAACGAAAAGTTAGTAACAACAATGGAATTCATTACTTAGATGAAAATTAATGAATCAGCGGAAAATGCATTCCGGTTTGAAGACTTTAAATAGCCATTCCACAGGCTATCTAACTTTTATTTTAATGTCCTAAAAATCTGACAAACTGTGAAAGAACTTCCTCTAAATCAAAAGCTAACTAAAATTAAAAATTATGTCGGACCAGTCTGACGAAGATCTCTCGTGTAATGATAATGACTCTTCTTTAGATTCAGGTTAGTTAAACTGGCTTAATAGTTGTTAATAGTTCAATTTAAACATTTAATATGTTTCAATAACCAATTAGAAGATGACAATGAATCGGATGATGGAGATTACGACTCACTAGATGAGGATTTATCCAATACTTTTTTACGACCCAAGATATATGAAGTAGAATTTACAGTTCACTCTCCTCAAGATATTATCAAGAGGCAAGAAGTTGAGAACATAGATCCAAGGTAAATACGTAGCTTATATAATTTACATTAGAAACGTTTATTAATATAAAATCTTTTTTGTTTAGACATTTACTCAAGTGCCCTGCTCCTGACTGTGAATATATAATTGAATGCGATGTGCCAGAGATCTCACTTACAACTATTGCACCAATAGTTGAATGTAAATGTTCTAATCGATTTTGCTTCCGTTGCACTTTACCTGACCATCAACCAACAACATGTATTCTCGTTCAAAAATGGGCTGAAAAATGTGAAAATGATTCTGAAACCAATAATTGGATTTCTGCATTCACTAAAAAGTGTGGAAGTTGTAATTCCTATATTGAAAAAAATGGTGGAGGCAACCCTATAACTTGTACTAAATGCAATTATAAATTTTGCTGGATCTGCATGAAACCTTTGCTAAATAACACTGCTGAACACAATTGCAACCTTTTTGATGAAAATTTTAAGAATGCAGAAGATCAGCGTGCCAAATCTCGCGCGTCCTTGGGGAAATATCTTAACGTATGTTACTCTTTACTTGTTTGCAATATAAAAGTTAACAAATACATATAAAATTTTTTTATTTTATTTTGGGAACATTAGTATTATCATAGGTACAACAACCATGAAAAATTTTTGGAACTTAAACATGAACTTTATAGCAAGACTGAAGTTCAATTTCTTACAAACGCAGTTAATGCTCTTGTTAAATGTCATATGACTCTTAAGTGGACATATATATTTGCGTTTTATCTTGATCGTAACAATGATACGGAACTCTTTGAATTTAATCAAAGTGATATCGAGAATGCCGCCGAAACGCTTTATGAATTATTAAAAAAATCTATCATAACAGACAAACTTGACGACATTAAGGAAGCAATCATAAGTAAAACTAAATACGTTGAGAATCGTAGAAAAATAATATTGGAAGATACTGCCAAAGGATTACTTGAAAATCGTTGGAGGTTCCAAATCTAAACGATAACATAGTGATGACAGAAAAAATTTGCGATCAGGTGATTACAACTAATCAACGATCAATAATAATGTATATGTTAAGGTTCAGAACAATTAGAAATCACCCGATCGCGAATTTTTTATCCACCGCTATGTTACTTGAAATCTAAAACACAATAAAGCTTGTGCGAGCAATTCTTTTAGTTTAAATGAAAAAATAAAATAATTTTATTTGATACAAGTACACATGTTCATATTGATACTTTGTCATCAGGGCTATGATAAAATAATCAATTTTCAAGAACAAAGTAAAGAACATTATTTCTAAGTGAAAGGGAATATATTTATTTTCTAGACATATATTTCATTTACCCAGATTACCCAGAATTTTACTGAATGTAATCAATGTAAAATTTAGGTTAAAATATAAGTAATTATTATTTGAATCTGGGTGGCTAAAAAATATTCACGATATGGGTAAGTAATTTTTGACGTTTCATTGTAATTTTAATAAAAGGTTATAGTTGTGTCGGAGAGACCTTGTGTAATTTTTTGATCGAAAGGATTCATCGATTTTGGAATCGATTCAAGAGAATATTCGATTATCGGTTCCCAAATTTGAATCGATTCCAGTTACAATTCTTGTTAAATACTTGTCATTTTTCGCTTGGTCTAAACAACTGCTCCCGTATTAATGTTTACCAGCTTTTGTTTAGATATACCATTGTAATATTGCATTACCAGTTAAATATTCTACTGTGAAGAGTATGACAATTTTTTTTTAAAGTTGATTACCTTTAAAAATCTGAAGCTAAAATATGCGTCGTACTTATCATGCTTCGGAACCGAACTAGAACATACTTAATAAAAAAAGGATATTGTAATTTATCGCTACCCTTGATCGACCAATTAGAATGCAAGATCAGTTGTAACGTGAAATCGAAACAAACCAGTCTTTTCTAAAAAATCGGTTGTAACTCAAGATTTTGCCTATGAAAAATCTCTAACATTTTAATTAAAAAGTGCTCTGCAAAATTTTAGATCAGAAACTTGTTTTTCTAAATCCACATCCAATCCTAATCTAATACTAACCTTAATATTAAGCAACTCGTTATTGTTTATTGTTTTGATTTTACGTTACATCGCATAGACGAAAAAAATTCTTATCTAACCATTTTATAACATTAAAGCGAAATCACTTTAACTTTAGTTATGTTGATCAATTATCCCTTAAATCATATAGCGTACAAAGACTTATTGCTTAAATTTTTATTAGGCCTTACCTCCTTTCTAAGCTAAAATAAAAGCACGCCACATGTTGGACGACATGTAATTTCTATTTTATGAAATCCATTTATTTAGTCTTTCATTTTTTTTTTTGCAACTCTCTAAATCGGCTGATAGGTGATGTACGTAAAACGTGAAGAGTTTGATTTCTGTAAGACCATTATTGGGCAAAAAATGAATTTTCTATAAGTAATCTTGAACAACTGACTTATAATTCAATTTATTAACTTGATTCAAACCTATGTGTCTCATCAATAGTGATTCTACCCAAACCTATTTTTTAAACTTTGACATAACTACATAGTTTGGATCTGAACATTGGGATTTCTACATATTTTGGGCTCAAAACCAAACCAAAATATATATCTCAAATCCAAATATATGTTTCATTGTTAATATATAATGTAAATATATGTTTCATTGTTAATATATAATGTCAAGCTCAATAGTCAATTATATTTATTAAAAGCAAAGAATAATTATTAGCAATTTTACTTAAACCTGTTATTTAAATTACAACATTATTACATAGTTTGGGTTTGAAATATAATTTAAACAAATCCAAATATATGTATCAATTTTAATAATTAGTATATAATAATAGTAACTTAGCCAAATCTGTAATTTGAATTACAACGTTACTACATTATTTAGGTTTGATAATTGAGATTTCTACATAATTTTTATATAAAAACCAAAACCTAAATGTATGCTCTATAATTTCCCAATTCTAGTAATTCTTGGTTTACTTAATTTAAAAATATGTCTCAAACCTAGTTTTTACATGTAAAATTTGGAACTATTCGATATAATATAAGCTACATGTCAAAAATGTTTAACATAACAGTAAATTAAAAGTATTTTGCGAAATATAATGAATACTATTTGGGCTTCTACCTAATTCTGAACTAATAGGTTTTAGTAGAATCACTGCTCATAAAGTTCTTGAATTTAATAGTATTCTTTCAAAACGTTCACGAGCAATTGAGAAGCATTTTTGTACAATTCCCTTTATAAGTAGGTAATGACAAAGATGCGTGTGATAAAAAATCATTTGAAATATAAGAAAATGCCTTACTATCCTAGTAATAATAAATATAAAACATTTGTAATACTTTTAAATTTGTGATGCATTAGTTATTAATAGATTTTAAAATGACTTATTGTAAATTCCAATATAATTGTAAAATAATTTTAAATTTACTTATATACCATTTATATAGCGTTTTTGAAGTTTTAAGTTAAATTTAAATTCTTTAGCAACTCAAATACAATTAAGAAGTCCACTATAACCTATGTTATTTGGAATCAATATAATGAATTCTAAATCCATAGTAATTCAATTTCAGCGTATTGCATTAGGGTGTCACATTGACTATTTAATCAAAACTATGTTAGTTAACTATATAATTTATAATATCGCAGATTTTTTATGTTACACGAATGCAAATCAATTTCAATTTATTTCACTATACAATAAGGCTATTGCTATTATATTATAGAATAAGACTATTTATGACCAAATAAATCTTCGAACAATTTATTAGCACTTGCTTCACAATTACTATCGCTATTGTTAAGATTTTCTTTGATTGAAATTGAATTATTTGTAAGTTCAGTTTGCCATTGACATTTTTTAATTCTAAGCTCTGTTAAATCCAAAGAATTACAACTGATTTCAGTAAGTGGTAAACTTGCAAGCTGCAATTTTGATTGTTGAAGGTTACTTGGCATATTCGGATGGGTTTTAAGATCCCACTTATTGAACAAGCCTTCAACTTGTTATTGGTGTACCAAAATATACCAAATTCGATTTTTTATGAATTCATATATCTTTGGAAAATGAGTTAAAGGTTTTTGTTCTTGAATAAATTAGTGAAATTCACAACTAAATTCAGGATTAAGTAATGCAGTTGATAGTTCAAAATCATTAAATTCAGCAGATTCAATGTTTAACTTAATAAATTTTGTATAACACAATTCTTGCAATAATGGTACTAAGAACCAAGGTGTTCCTAAAATAACATGTGCAAAGCTCCATACAAATTTCCATTCAAACTTTCCATCTAATTGACAAATACTGAGAGGCAGATGTAGTCAACAATTTAACCATTTTTGGTAAAGCTCTAATGCTTTTTGTGTATCACATTCTAAACCTGATATAAGCTTGGTAAGCTGATTATTATTTAATGAATCAAAACATTTAAGTAACATTTCTTTAAAAAATAAATAGAGGTCTTCAGCAATATTTCTACGCTTTATAATAATACAAATTACAATGTTAGACATCTGGTATACACATTAATTAGGAGAAAGATTTATTAGCAATAATTGCAATTCAGAATTATAATCTATAAGAAATTTAGTAATTGGGTAATAAGAATCTTTTCTGGAATAGACTAATAATTTAATTTGTATATTTAAAATTAGATTATGAATCTAGCTTTGAAATAATTTTTACTTTTTTATATATGATTTTGAAGTATTATTTCTAGTTTTAAAATGAGATAGAAACATTCTGTAAATTTTATATAAATATCTTTTTGCTCTAGGTATTGCTTATATATTTTAATTCATAAAGCTATCTTGATCTAATAGGTTGTTAATATTTTGTTAACTAATAGTTGAATTGCTCTTTATAAAATTTATAAATATGATTTGATCATATTCCTATCAACTTATCTTTATTACTCTTATTATAACTATTATAGAATATATGAAGGACCAAGTTAATAATAGCCAGACCCAATGTACAAAGCAGGTTATGGTATCCTCTAAAGCTATGTGAGCTAAGTTTCAAACAATAAATAATTCTGTAAAAAAACAACCTAATCTCTTAAGTTTCTGTTTTCAATACTTCACCTTCTGCAGAAACAAATACATGCTACAACAAATTTCTAAAATCATACAATCTACTTATTATATATAATCCTATAGTACTTGAAAACTTCCTTTCTTATCTTTAAAAACACTCTTTCAAAAATAGCTTCCAAATATCTATCAACTAAAACAAAACTGAGTTACATATATATACTAACCTTTCTGATTTTTTTTTGCATAAATATTATACTATTCAACCTTTTCAATATGAAATATACAAACATCTATTCTTACTAATAATATCTAATAATACTTTATTTAATATTCATTCAGTCTTACTTGATCAATTATTTTTTACAAACCTATTTTCTGAATCTTCATCTATATCAGTTACTTCTATATCTAATCATATAGTTAATAGACCTAAGACTCTTTCTTAAATTATATTCTCTAACACTTATAACACACAACCTACTATTCATCTATCAATAAAGAAAACATCTACATCTACTCTATATAAATCATTATATTTATTAATATATACACATAACATACAAGAATGCAATAATAATTTAAAATAACAAATTTGAAAGAATTATTGTTTATCCTATAATATCAATATAACTAGTATTACAGAAACTAAAATTGTACAAAACAATACAAATGCTAAATTTCCTAGATTCTAGCAGTTTATTTATTATTGGTCTTGCACTAATAACTACAAAACTAAAATAGCAATTATGATTCAAAAATATTCAAAACTACATGTTTACAAAACACTTCAATTTCCTAATTATGTTATTGCTATAGATCTTTTTTTAAAATATAACTTTAAATTCTACATTATTTTAGTTTATTTACCTAATGATAATCTTCAACTTAGACTTCTTATTCAAAATAATATCATATAATAA